GCCTTCCGGCTTGTGGAATAGTGCCTCAATCAACCAAGCTACCACACGGCTAGAAGGTAAGTCTGTAATGGACGGTGGTCGTATTGCTTTCTGTACGTCACAGTCCCCAGACATTTTCCCGTCGCCAGAATTAAGTCACATTATGCAAACTGAATACAAAGCGTCACGTCATCCCTTCTAGGACGTGACTCAGAACAGAATAATAGATTGGGACGAAACAGATTCACCCCAGATCTTCCAGACTTACACTGTATAGTTAGGGGAGATAATGTTTTGTTTCTGTAATACTTTCATATTGTTTCAAGAAATTTTATTATACATTTAATATTACATTAATTGGCAGTAAGTCCGGCAACCACCGAGCGGGTCCGTGTATTAGTGAAACTTTAGGCTTCTACTCCGGAGGATGGGTCAGTAATAAATTAACATAATATAGTATAAGTGATAAGAAATATACTGGGCAGATAATAAGAGGGATCACATTCTTCAGAAATAACACTGTCAGTCTTTCCTGTACTCTTTGGAAAGTTTCTTTAAGATGTGTCGTCAGTAAAACTTTACTAGCGTTTATTTTCTACATACTATTATGTGTATGAGTGGCTCTTGACGGAGTTATGGACTGATTATTTGATTTATTGACCACTTATACACATTACTCGGAACTACAAGTAATTACAGGGCAATCCCTTTTACAAATCACCACAGGACATACTAAGTATTTCGCAGCCTGCTGTTCCTTCACCAGCCGTTCCATGATAACGGCTTCTAACAGTGGAGATTCTTCAGCTTCCACGCTCAAGTTCTCTCTGAATGGCGGCTTTCTTCCAGCTGACCCTTTTCTTCACAGACTCCCATATAGAAGTGACTTGGTCGTCCCAGTTGTCTTCCTTATAACTACTCGGCACGGCCCCCACAGACAACGCCATTCGTTCTCCTATCCGTTTATGCGGGAACGTGTTTACCGAGCCGTTCCCTAGCAGCGGTCGTCTATTTTTTATTTTTATGAATCTCTTACCTGGAAACGGATTTCATTGTTGTCTGTTTCGCGGCCGTTGCCTATAAAAGAATATTGTTCCCTAGTAACGGCTGTTTCTCTGGCTCCACAGTTCTTGCTTTGAGAAAAAATGCCACAGTTCGATTTCAGCCAGTCGCCGTTGTGGAGATCTTACTGCACTCTCAGATCTCTTATTCCTCTTCGGTTCCTACCAAAGTATGCCGCACACTTAGACTAGCGTGAAGAGTGCATATAAAAAGCTATTAATGTACTTGTTAAAAAGTTCAGTGCAGTGATTGATATTCTGGACATCAATCATCTTCGAAGTGGCATTTCGGAGAAAGCTGCCTCCCAAACGTCGTTTCAATACGATGTGTCGAAGGTTAATGTCCAGAATATCATTCACTGCACTAGCCACGGCTTATGTAGGCAGTTATGTGCAGCTCATGATCTATAAAAAAAGAAGCCATATAAATTGGAGGACGTTATGGAGGCAGAAGGGTAGGCAAGTGTTGAAGTACTAATGTAAGGGGAATGATTTTCAGTGCACAGATGTTTGTTAATATGTGATAAAATTAGGCAGACAGGAAGCAGAAGTTTTACAAAATCATGAAAATGTAAATTTTCGCATAGACATGGTAACGTAAGATTGTCCCTGTGCCTAAATAATGAAGCACTGCACCATGAAGGTGTATGGGGGAGTGGATCCATAGATCCACCTCCACCAGTTGGAGGTGAGTGGTGAGCTTTACGCCCTTACCGCTTTACACTCTGGGAAATAGCCCACCGTTACCCATTAAATAGAAGGCTGGGTGGGCCCCAGAGCCGGTCTGGACGACGTGGAGAAGGTTCTGACCTTACCGGGACTCGTATTTCGACACCTCGGTCATGCATCCCGTAGCCAGTCGCTATACAGACTACACTACAAAAGCTTCTTTGCATAGACAAGGCGAAGTGCTATATAGTAAATACGAGAGTCTCATCTTGACAGCAGTCAGACTTAACCTTTGTTCACGAGACTGAACTGCCGTTGAACCGTATTCGCATAGTGCATATGATGAGGAATGAACTCCTTTCCCAAGCCGGGACTAACAAGAGGCCTCGTCTTATGTAACTAAATTAATCTTATCGTTTATTACATGTAATCGATCTTGCCTTTTGACAGCGGACAGGCCTGTCCTCTCGTCAGAGAGGGCACCCACTTCGACGAAATTGTAACTGTCCACACAGAGACTATAGTCTAATGCACTATTTATGGATGTCCCTGTCATTCACACTACTACTTCGTAGTTCTGCTATGTAAGTTTCATTGTGACATGTTTACAGCAGACTTCTTTTACTTATTTACAGGATTGTTCTAGTTATTCACTCATATACGCTAAATTTGTTGTGATATTTCAGGGCTGTTCATCGCAAAACTTCCCAAGCCGATTTGTATAATTCATTGGCAGGAATGTTCTGATTATCTGTTTGTGTCTTTCTCGTTTGTTGTGATGTTTCAGGGCTATTTAAGCCATTTAAGGTTAATATTTTTCAAACGAACATGTTCAATATTATATTTAATCATCCTGTTACACTCTATACGATATATGATATACTTAGGACGGAATTTATATCATATATCGAACATGTTCAAGTTTATTGATAGCAATGTTCTCATTATTTATTTTACATTTGATTTATTCTTATGTTTCAGGACTCTTTCATCGCGCCGTCCTCTTGTCCGGGTCTGCCCTCAGCAGCTGGGCGCTTGTAGAAGATCCTGTTAGTTTCGCTGTACGCCTTGCTCGACAAGTGAATTGCTCCTTACCTGAAGACCTTTACAGAGACCATGAGAATATCGTAGACTGCTTGCGAGATATCCCTCTAGAAGAACTGCTTCGTGCTGATGTGTCAGCACCAACATACCTCAGCGCTTTCGGACCAAGTGTTGATGGTGTTGTCATCAAAAAAGATTTCCAGAAAGAACTTCTCACATACTTCCAACCTGATCTACAGGGGTATACCGGATCTAGTGGGGGTGTGAATAGTAATATGAAGAGAAGTGGGGATGCTACATTAGCTGCCATAGCAAATAGTGCCGGTGGGAATAGATACGATTTGTTGTTTGGTGTTGTTACAAGTGAGGCACTGTGGAGATTTTCGGCGTCTGACATTCAAGCGGGATTTGAAGGCGAACGTAGGGATAAAATAATAAGGACCTATGTGAGGAACGCCTACACGTATCACTTATCTGAGATTTTCTTTACGGTTGTGAACGAGTATACGGACTGGGAGAGAACAGTGCAACATCCAATCAACACGAGAGATGCCACAGTGGCAGCACTCAGTGACGCAGAATTTGTGGCACCCCTTGTGCAAACGGGGGATCTTCTCAGCTACAGGGTACTATCCAACCCTGGACCCGGTGCTACCAAATCATATTTCTACGTTTTTGATTACCAGACCAAAGACGGAGACTATCCACAGGTAAGCGCTCAAACATTGGGTGAAATATTCGTTACTGGGCTGAGCACTAGCAAGAATCTGAGAAGTGACCCGGCAACTTGTATAAAACTTGCAATTATCGTGTTTTGGGATGTTATCCGTCGTCCTGGTTTTCTTTTTATTTAAACTTGTTAAACGAGTTATGTCAAGGAAATCTCATTTAACATGCTGAGTGTTGCGATTGAGCGGTTGGAAATCCTGATACATATTCATATAATTCCAGGGAGCATATATTTAAATGTAGACGGACTCCCTTCCTGGTTTACATAATATTCATCAGTACGTCCTGGAAATATTAAAATGCGACACAACTTATAAATACCACGTCATTTTCAGTTCATACTTCAAAAACCATCCTGTTTTCGACGCCAAGCAACGTAGGCAACTGAAGAAATTTCGTTGAACAAATAAAATTTAGTCTGTATCCTTCATGCGTGTGGACATTTCAGTGAGGCTGCCTGTCATATCTGATGTAAGCATCTGTGAGTTGAATGCCACACTTTGTTGGTAGTTGCTGCAGGACCTTATAAGGCTGCTTCTGGAGCAGCTGATTCGGCTGATGTGATATCACAGTATTTTCATGTTAATCACACTTAACTCATAAAATATATTTTACCATATGGGACAGAATACATATTTATAATACCTTTCAATATTTAAAAGGTACTGTCGGCAGTAGAAGTAAGAAACCCATTAAATCTATTATATCGAACTAAAGAATATTCAGCGCTGCTTATAAACCATACGCCACGTCCCGTCATATGGAGACACGCCTTCCAGTCAAATTGTGAGAAAATTCTGCCTAGTGACATAACACAATATGTTTGTCAGACCTTATTCTTGAGAAGCTGCTAGTCAGTCAGCTGGTAATGTATAATAAATCCAGAGACACGTTGCAGCTTCAACAGGCTCCAGTTACTGGAACCTCTGCTAAACCAGATCCAGTCCACAGTTTCACTGCCAATTCTTTGTCTTCATAATTTATTGTAACATTTTCCTAACATTATCTGCAGAGTGGTCACTTCTCTTAAAGTTCTGAGTTGAAAATGTGCTATGGCTCTCACTTCCTCAGACGTTCTACATGCCCCGCCTATTTAATCCCCCTTCAAATGTTATCATTAATAATAAATTTCGAAGTGTACAGTGTATGTGGCAATTTATTTGTAATTTTCTCAATACTTCTATCGCTTCTCTCTCTAAAGACCCAGCATTTGTACTTAACATTTTGCTGTAAAATGCATTGCCTGTTTTCTTCGCTTCAGGTGAAAGATTATATTTCACATTTATGTAAAGTAACTCACATATTTAAAATTTTAAATCATTGGTTGGATGCAAGAAGTAAATGGTTCTGAACCGAATGTAGACAAACATGACCCAGAATTAATATGTTGCCAACTTGTGAATGCAATTACTACTCGTATTTGCATTACTGTCGTACACAGGTATGTGAAGTTTTAAGTAATTTTGAAAGTATTTAGTACCTGTATTTATATTAAGATATTGTCATGTATTCTGGCGGTAATTTACTTGAATATATTTGTTGTGTCCTGCATTTATTTGCAGGAAATAATTTTGGAAATGAAAATTAGTAATGGAGATGGGTCTCATAAACGAGAGATGCCACTTCCGAGAGCTGTTAGCTTTAAGACTTGGCATTAGCTGAAATCTCTTGGCCTAGTTTTCGTTTTTAAATAACGTTGAGAATACCAGTTTAAGCCCCTAAACCTATAATCTTAATCTTAGCAACATCTCCGAAGCAAGCTTCACGTTTTAACATGTTGAACAGACACCCAGTCTATCCACCAAATCTCTTCTGTTCCTCTCCCGGCTCCCCTTTTTTGAGTTGTGCTGAATTCCAAGCACGCTCCGATTTCGTAGTGTCGACATCATGGCAACACTACCCAATCTTTGTCCCTTCTCCACTCCATTCCAGAATGTCGAAGTTCTAGAGGCAAATGGCTCTGCCCCTGTGCATTCCCAAGATGCCTCAGTTGACAGAGAATGTAAGATAAACCTCCCCCCCCCCCAGCTGTTGCTGAAGTGAAGTACGTGGGTTTGTGAGGAAGTGGGAAGTTGGCAAGGGTGAAAATGTAGAATGAGGACAGAGAACAATGTTTTAAACTCTTTGTGGTTCAGTAATGTAAACTCCTTACCACTTCCACTTCCTCCTCGTCCAGACAGGAATTTTTAAACTTTCCTCACGTTGTTTCCACAGGGACCTTAAATTATTCTTAGAGTCAGTTTATATACTTAACTTGGAAGACAACGAGAAATAGCATTTTAAGTCGTAATTTCAAATTAAATATGTTACTATAAATTTAATAATTAATTAATAGTTTAATTAATTTGCACCGATTATACATATGTCATATTCAGGATGTCCCAGGAGAGGTCAGTATTCTGGGAGGTCATAGTATCGGCCACTCTGAACAAACACTGTATTTGCGCGTGACCTATTCCGAACGGTTTCCGCGATATTTCAGTGTACAGTTCCAAAATTGTTAATAAGAAGGAGATGTTACGTACTGTTTCTAATATCGGCATCTGTTGTTCAAGTGACAAAATTGGTACAGTTACCTAAGTATAATAGATTTTAGAAAATTCTACCGTCAACAGCAAAGCAATTTGCAACTCATGTAAAGGATATGGCGTTTTGCTCGTCTGTACAGCGTACAGTACTGTACAGTGAAATAGCTCTATCTCGGAAACCTTTCGGAATAATTATCTGTATTATTAAAATACCCGTCCATAATGCAACAATATTTTTTTTAATATAAAAGGCATCTAAAATATGTTTCTCACTAAAAGTGCCACTTTAATACTTTACGATATTAAAATTATAAAATATCATTAAGATTCTAAAAGTGTAAACTAAAACTGATCATCAAATTATTCAAATGTCTCTAGTTTTACATATGTTTCTTCTCACTTTACAACCTGTTTCGGCCGCATATGGGTCATCATCAGGCAATTTTCCTTTTGTTTGTTGAGATCACTGCACTGTTCACTTGTGTATGGTAATTATTTAGTTTTTATCTCACGACCAGAACGCTGTCGTTGTACTGTTTTGCGGCCATCGTTATTTTTGCGTCTCGTGTTCCTTCCGTATATGTGTTACTAGTGCGGTCTTCCTGTACATATACACTTTTTGCTTAGAATGACCGATACTGTGACCTCCCAGAACAGTGACCTTTCCTCCTGGGACATTACGTATGTTCTTAGTGTTTGGTTCAAGCTTACAAACTGTTTTAAACAGCGCTCTTTTCAAGATGTGACGCGGTGTAGTCTGGTAGAAATTTATTGACATTTTGGAACGAAATGCGTGCCATAGAGTAAGCGAACCGAGCAAATAGGGTAGCAGAGAAACATCTGCTCTGCCTAAACATGGAAGAGGTACGTTCCTATGAAGGTCAAAAACTCTGTCGGAGGACACGGCGTCATATACAAAGATCGTACTCGTCATATCCACCGCTGAGGGTCTCAAATCCAAAAGAGTTCTCTTATAGATCTCTGAAATTCCTTCTCTTATCAGCGAGTTTAGATTTACATTTTCTTTGGGCCGCGCCATAGCTCAAGTGGGATTTGTGGTGCACAAAGTGACGCTGGGGCAGGTTTTCTCCGAGTACTTCGGTTTCCCTTGCAAGTCTTCATTCCACCAATTGCTCCACAATCACCCTCACCTATCATCTGGGGCTGGTACAATGTGCCAGAAGTGGCCGCAGTACAAGGGACTTAGTCCCACCCCACTAGAAATAAAAAAATATATTTTCTTGTATTCTGCAACCATTTCACTTTAGTAATCACTCACTCACTCATTGAGCTGAGCCCTTCTTGACAAGCCGCCAGTTGTGCAGCCACTCAAGAATTTCCCAGCATTTTATGGAACCCGAAGGTTCATTACCGTGTTCACAAGAGCCTTACTCTGGTCCCTATCCTGAGCCAGATCAATCCAATCCATACCATCCCATCCTACGTCTCTTAAGATCCATTTTAATATTGCCCATTCACCTACGCCATGGTCTTCTCAGCGGTCTCCTTCCTTCTGGCTTTCCTACCAATATCCTATATGCATTCCGCTTCTTCCCCATTCGCGCTACACGTCCTGCCCACCTCTTCCTCCTTGACTTGATCATTCTAATTGTACTTGATAAAGACTACAAGTCATGAAGCTCCCCATTATGCAGTTTTCACCAACCTACCGTCACTTCACCTCTCTTCGGTCCAAACATTCTCCACAACACCCTGTTCTCAAACACCCTAAGTCTGTGTTTCTCCCTTAAAGTCAGAGACTAGGTTTCACAACCATACAGAACCACAGGCAAAATTATAATTTTCTATATTCTAATTTTTATGTTACTAGACAGCAGACGAGAAGACAAAAGGTTCTGGACTGAATGGTAGCAGGCATTGCCCGAGTTCAATCTCCTCTTAATTTCGCCTTGAATCAGGTTTTGATTTGTTACAGTCGTTCCCAAATATCTGAACTGTGTCACATTTTCAAAACATCTATTACCTCTTTTTATATCATGATTTTACCCTGCATTTTAGTGACGAGACAGCAACATATACTTAGTTTTCTCTGTGTTTACTTCTAGACCAAACTCCTTATTAGCGCCATTTAAAGCCTGTATGTGTCACTTTATGGTATCTGTGTTGTCATCCAGTGCTCTTCCTTTAATATAATAATTTTGAGTAGTTTCCTTTGAACCATGGCTTATGCAGCTGTTACTCGCAATATCTGAACTCTAATTTTACTGAAGCCTAAATAAATAAAGGAACCAAAGTTTGAGGTTTTGGGGCTGGATCCATGTGGGCTGGCATGGGATACGTTTGGGGCCCCCAGTGAGCATGGTAATGGACCTCTTGTTTCCATATAAGCCTGGAAATTTTCCTATTTTGCCGAGGCACCATTGGTGGCAAAATTCTGCTTTCTGGAGTTAGTTTACTTTGATATATTTCCAAGGATATTTACGGGAAACAGG